AAGGTATGATATAAAGTCTGCACACTTATTGGAATCTGCGATAATTTTATTTGCTATTTCCCCTGATAGTTAATGGATATACATGTATCAGAGCTGAGAAGCATATTCGCTAGATGATTCATATGATGCTAAGATTTCTGGAACCTGTGATTGTGAAGAACTATAGAAATTAATATAATCTTTTGCAATCTCCAGCTCAGATAAATCTTTTTGCCAATGCTTTAAAAAATGTAATGGGTCAAGTTGTGCAAGAGAAAAGTGAACCACTACTGCAAGTGAATAGCGGCAAACTATTCTAGCGAATTCAAGATTATGACAGCTACAAGTAAGTTTATAACCATCATAGAACACCCAATGTAACACATTAGGCCTTTTATAGCATGATAACTTAAAATGACACAATTCATTATCTTTTTCTGTTTCTACACACATGTATGCATCCTTAGCACTCCATTTAACTGCAAATTTTTTCTATGCATATTTTGTTAAACATTTAGCAGCCTGATTTTCGATAGGGCTTTGAGATATTGAACGAGAAGGATAAACAAGTTCCTTATATACAGAAATATGCTCAGCCTCCTTACAAATGTCAAGTGCTCATTCAAAAGCTGCTAAAAAATCTGTAAGTATGGCCTTATTATCAAGGAATCTTTTTAATAATTTATTCATTGATTCCTATCTTTGCGTTGAGGTTATATCTGCAAAAAAAAATCTTTAAGATATGCTGGGGCCCATCTTTCACACCATTGGTTAAAAGCTTCTAAATATAACTTTGCTTCTGTATAATTTTCATTAATCATAATATCATTCCATCGCTCCTCAAATTCACTTTGATTAATACAATAATCAAGACACCTAATGAGATCCGCATGAAACCCATCATATTTAGACCCAAGCTTAGAGGTCATATTAGACCTAATGTTTTTAAGCATATACCATATGCAAAGACTATGTTTAGTATTATATTTGTTAGTTAAAATGGAACAGATGGCATTAGCCATTGGAAGATCATTGTCTATAAGAATGGTTTGGGGCACTGTACCAAAAATACGAATAAAGACTTCAAAAAGCCACTCAAAACTTAAACGGGTTTCATCACGAAGCAAAGCACCAGCAGCACAGTAAGAAAGTCTATGATTTGTAACACCTATGAATACTCCAAATGGCATTGAAAAATAATTATACTTATATGTATTATTATATACAAGTGTGTTATAAAAGCATATATATTGTCGCTTTTGTGATGGGTATGTCCAGATTACATGTTTAAAACAGTTATCTTGGTCTAACTCAAACTCAAAAGAAAACGTAAGATCATTCTTGCATTTTTGTTGAAGGAGAAGAAAAAAGTCATGTGCCTGGAATTCATTATATGATATACGGTCACTGCTAATTAAGTTGTATATATCTCGGACTACCCATTTCTTTGCAATTAGCCTATATTTGGTCATGAGCAGTGATTGAATTTGAGACATTAAAATACCAGTCCTTTTTAAAAGTAATATTTCTTCCTTAATAGCAACTGGGATTTCACGATTACTAGATAAGAAACGCATAATTTGAATCAGAATGAGTGGGTGGTTGTGGTGGAGCTTGGTCTGAGAAATATGATAATTATCCTTATTTTAACTATAGTTGAGACGAACAAACCACTGGCAATCATACTTTTTTGATTCAACATTTCTGTTTGTTTTGTTTGAGTCTTTTTTTTTGGATTTGAATTTACCATAATGATTATATGTGAAAACTTGGATACGATGTTTATCATTACTACGATTGCTGCCTTTATAGTAAATAACTTTAAACTCCTTAGTGCCTGCGAAGTGGTTGATGACAAACTTAAAGGCTTCTAGGGAAGGGTAAGCTTGGCTATTTTGAAAAATTAAATTTTCAGATTTTACTAAATTTTCAGTGTTTAGAATTTCAGCTACCAGCTAGTTTTCAGTTTCAGATTCTAGTGAACTTTCAGGTTCAGGTTCTAATAAGCTTTCAGGTTCAGATCCTAATAGGCATTCGGTTTCAAACTTTAATGAGCTTTCAAGTTCAGATCCTAATGGGCTTTCAAGTTCAGATTCTAATAGGCTTTGATATTCAAACCCTAATGGGCTTCCAAGTTTAGACCCTAATGGGCTTCCAAGTTCAGACCTTAATGTGTTGTCTGATTCTTCTAATAGGTTTCCAAGTTTAGACTCTAATAGGCTTCCAAGTTCAGACCTTAATACGTTGTCAGATTCTTCTAATGAGCTTTCAAGTTCAGATTCTTGCAAGTTGTCATATTCTTGTGGATTTTCATATTCATTATAAATAGAGATGCCTTAATCTTTCGTATGAAAATTCATCTTATAATATCGTATTACTAATACCTACCATCATAAAGTTCCTCTGGATTATAAGCCATTATTAAAATGATTTTATTGCAAATAAATATTGCTATAAAAATTTTTTTTGTCAGTTCTAAGGGGCTGTGCTTCTTCGTGAGAGTTATTCATCCCAATCTTATAAATAAAATTGATAAGTTTCTACAATAAAAATTTGTCTGCAAAATCTAAGTTTATATTACTTATGTATTAAATTTTTACAACTCTGTAAACCACAAGCTTAAAGTTGTTTCTTATACCCGGCTAGTGCAGTTCATTAAAAAAAATTACAACCTTGATATTACATTATAGTATTAATAAAAGTTAAGTGTAATTATATCAAAGAAACGTTTTTGTGAGAATTATTTTCATCGGTATACAAAGAGGACCAAACTACTGTATTTAAACTATTAATAAGTATATAAAGACAAAGAAATCAATATTACATACACTTGCAACAAAGTAATGACTATAACTGGCTTTTACTAATATAAAAGAATATTACATACTGATATATTTACAACAAAAAAAAGATTATAACTGGCTTTTGAAAGAAACTATATTAGTACTAATGTTAAGTACGCAAATACAATATTGGATATTTAAAGTGATAAGGTGTATATACATATATATACAGTTATCAGTAAAGAAATCTGTACTACAAGTATTAACAAAAAAACCTGATCGCCAAAAAAAATTTTGCTCTAATACGTACGTACATATATATATACATATATATGTACATACATATATACAACAGTATTGCCGAAAAATTCATTCCATGTAATAATCGACACTAAAAGCCAATGCTACAATATAACGATTTGATATAATGAATGTTATCAGAAATTTAAAACTAGCGTTTCTCTTGTCAAAAATCACTTATCTCTCAAAAAATCACTTAATAAATCACCTTTTGTGCCTTAACAAAACGTTTTCTTTGAGCAGTTTGACTATATATGTATCTAACCTTTAATCTATCATAAAAAATATTTTTTGGTGTTACTAAAACATAACATCAAAAGTTACATGTAATAGCGTATCTTGATTGAGCAATATGTCACAGGAGGTATATATCTTATGGGAGATATATATTGTTACAATACCATGGCCTTCTTAACAGCAGTACTATAACAATGACATGGCTACAGAGATCCTTCACAGGTTTATAGCAGTGTCCAAC